TCCTTCTAGTACTAACATCTCACAGAGCTAGAGAATGATATGGCAATGAAGAAACACATTGACACAATGCGCTGATGCGATGTAGAGTTTCTATGCTGTACTCAGATGTCTGTGTGTGTGTGTGTTTGTACGTGCACTTAGTTCCATACAGTTTCATCATAAGTAGCTTTGTGTGTCACCACTAGTTAAGCTAGACTATGAGTGTGGAGCAATCTCTCATGTACTTGTATTCCCATTTTTACAAGTACATTGAAGTCGTGATGCACTGCCTTCCCACCCTCTCCCACCCTCTTCTTGCCCTTGTTGTTAAGTGCCAGGGAGTTGGTTCCAACTTATAGCGACCCTGTTTAGGGTTTGCAAGGAGTGGCTGGTGAGTTTGAACCGCTGACCTTGTGGTTTACACCGACTTTGCAGCCCAGCACATTAACCCACGGTGCCACACCAGGATTCCTTGCCCTTGACAACCACTCATCTGTTCTCCCTATTCATAATTTTGTTATTTCAAGAATGTTGTGTAAATGGATTACTACAGTATTTAATGTTGGAGAATTGCCTCCCTCTCACCATTCAACTTAATCCCTAAAGATTCATGTTGTTGGGTGTTATTAGTTGTTCTTTTCTCTTAGTATAGATCAATAACCATTGAATTATTCACCCATTGATTACCTGTCACTTAAGTGAAAAGTTTATTACTTTTTACTACAAGGATGTTTTTGAAATGATGGTCTCCTAAGCAGGGGTTGGGGGCCTGGCTGTTGCCTTACAGTGTCTGCCGCTGCACGGTCCCCATGGCTCTGCCGTCAGCTGTAAGTGAGCCAGGCCTCATGAATCAGCGCCTGCATCCCAGATCTCTTCCCCGACTGAAAGGAGCCTGAAGCATTTCTTGCTCTGAATCAGTTTTGTAACATCTGAAGAACAGGAGAATTGATTTCCAGCTACTTGTTCAACGGTTAGTCCACACATGTAGCAAGCAAGGAGAGAAGGGATAAAGTATTTCTGGTTATTGAATTAGGCAGCAGGAAAAGATGGGTTGCTTCTAAGCATTTCAACTTTAATTGGTGTCACTGGTGGATGTGGTCAATCCCAGGGAGTGACAGATGACCACATACCAGAGAGAATTGGGAAAAGTAATTCCTGTTCTTTTTATTTTACTGAGTCGTATTTCCAATGCATGTTAATGCTCACATAGAGCTGCAGGCTGACCATTGCCATCTTACATATATAAAATGGCGCATGTCAAATCGTATGTGAATGTTTATATACCAAGCAAATGAAGCACCTTGCAAAATCCTTTATTATGCCTAATCTAATCTTGTTTCACTCCTCCATAGACAAAGAATAGAATCTAGAGTGTGTAAGGAAGCCATCAACAAATTTTACTATAATATGAAAGAAGAACTCATCAAACTGGTAAACTCATTGACATAACTTTGTTGGTCTTAACTTTTTTTTTTCATTTTTACTAATCCTGTGGCAGCATACTTCTTTCTGTTTTAAAAGTTTGTCTTTGCTGGAAACATAATGATCTCATTAGAACTATACCTGTATTGTACCATGCTGTTTAACCAAGTATGCATGTGAAATTTATGCATATTTTTAATTTTGTGAAATTTATGCATACTTTAATTTTGAAATATAAGATACATACATATATACATAATTTTTGGTTTTGTGTAGATTAAAGAAGTCCAGGTGTTGAAAAATCTGAAGAGAAAGAATGCTAAGGTAAATCACTATGTAACTAGAGACAGAGTCATAAAATACTAACATAAATAGAATTAAGAAAGACTGGGCTCTAGTTTTGGCCTTCAGAGTTTATATAAGGTTGAGTTTCTGTTTGTATTTTGATTGTGCTAAGTTTATAGGTAACAAGAGTCTGGTGTTGCACTGTAGGATAAGCACTGAATCCCGAACTTGGCTTAAACTGCAAGGTCGGTGGTTCAGACCCACTAGAAAGCTCCTTGGAAACCCTATACATGGTTGCTGTGAGTCAGAACCGACTTGACAGCACACAACAACAATATAGGTAATAAAACATTTGCCGTTTCTACACTCTTCACATGTACACAGTGTTATTCCATTGTCACCTTTAATAGAAGCTCGGTGTCTGCTGAGCATGTGTCTTACTTCCTCCAGTATCAAGTTTTATCTTTAGTCAGGCTTTTATTTGATTGATCTGGTGAGTGCTGTTAATGCAACCTAAGGAATGAAGACCCTAGTCATACTTGTTTTCTCAAGCTATATAAATGTTCAGATGTTTATATAACTAAACCTAAGAGAAATTCAAGCCTTTTTTTATGTTCCAAAGTTAACATAAAAGTGGCTGTTAGAGCCAAAATGACTACTTATATGTCAAGTCAAAAGACGGCTTGGGAAAACTACTGGGTTAGTGGTTAGGAGGCTTCGTTTCTAGTAGGTGGTGCTATTTAAGGTAGCCGCTGCTGCTGCTATTATGTGCCGTAAAGTTGGTTCTGACACACAGCGACCCTGTGTGTAAATCTTTACAGGAACAGAAAGCCTCGTCTTTCTCTCAGAGTGGCTGGTGGATTTGAACTGCTGACTTTGCGGTCAGCAATCCAACGCACACTCACTGTGCCACCAGGGCAGGGTGCCTTCTTTAATGTTGTACCATCTTGAAAACCATACGCCCATGTTGTTGCTGCTGCTAAGTACTTTTGAGCTGGTTCCGACTTAGAGTGACTTGGCATAGCGTTTCTGTAGGTGGTGCTACTTAAGACAGTTTGCTTAAGGCAATGCTACTTAAGGCAATTTGAACTGCTGACCTTGTACTTAGCATTCCAATGCTTATCTTACAGAGACACACGATGCACCATAGGCATGTGAAACAAGCCCAATTTTCCTCATCTGTAAGCATGACATCAGGGTACTTACTTAACTAAGCTGGCATGAATCTTGAGTGGAGGACCAGCTCCCTCTACATTTAAGTGGAGTTGAGATGACAACATTTTTCTTTCAGTGTTTATAAGCCTTTGTTTTTTCAGTTTTAAGCTCTTATCGGTCATTTCTACATTTGCTTTTAAGTAGTGGAACAGTCTGAATATCCAACAGTTATATTACTGGGTATTAAGGTACTCATGAAAGTAATGGCTAAGACAATGAAATTTACTATATTGAGACATTCTTTCTAAAATGCAGATTGGACCAGAGCTTGCCCTGTATAAGTATTTTCCCAAGACCCTTAACTAAAATCTAATCTCCTGAGCTCAGAGTTTGTATCTAGTAAGACTTCCCATGTAGTCATGAGGTAGAAACCCCTGCTACTCTTCTCCTTTCTGACCTGTTGTAATTCCATCCCATTTGTATGTAGTTGCTGTCTTCCTGCTAGACTCTCAAGTTTCATGATAATAAAACTTAGGTCTGTCTTATTCTCCACTGTATTTCCAGCACCTGGCGTAGAGGCTAGCACAGACAATGCTGAAATGTTTGCAAAATTATGTTAATAAAGGCATTATTGTATCACTTAGATGTCTTCAGGCATTAAAGAGAAAAGGCAACGTCTGATTGAAGTCCAAGATGAACTGCTTCGGTAAGATAATATCAAAATCCTATTTGAGAAATTTCCTATGACATAATTAAGGTATGCCATTTGAGGATCATAGAATTTCCTACTGCTGCTTAATATTACAATTGCAGGATATCTTTGAGCTTGGAAATTCAGTGACGGTAGGTTATACTGCCTAATTGCAAAACCTTTATCAAAGAATTCAGTGCTCATCATCTGCTAGCAGGTGTCTGGTCTCAGGCCTGGGAGGCAGGATTGAGGCAGCATGTGCAAACTGAATGCATGGAATCTAGAACCAAGCTTCCTAGGTGTGTACATCCAGGCTCTGGCGCTTAGCACTATACAATCTTAGGCAAGTAAACCTCCCAGCACCTCAGTTTTCTCATTTGTAAAAGGTGCTGTATCTCAGTAAGTGTTGTGAGGATTACTTCAGTAAAGATATAGAAAGTGCTTCAGAGAAGCTGGCATGTAATGACTGGGGTGGAGGGGTAAGTCTTCTTTTTCACTGATCCTCATAAGGAATTTAGAGAAGGGAGAAATTGGTTAGCTTCTTCAGTGGTTTCCATATCTAGCTTTCAAACAGGTGCTAGGCTCATGAGCATTTTCATTGATCTAGACCAGAATAAGAAAAATAAAGGTAACATAATGATGATCTTGAACCAACTCAACAGCACTTAACAACAACAACAATGATGATCTTAAGTGCCATTGAGCTGGGTTCAACCCACAGGGAAAGTCTTGTCTTTCTCTGGCTGGTGTATTCAAACTGCTGATCTGTCTTTTCAGTTAGCAGCTCAAGGCGTAACCCTGTATACTACCAGGGCTGCTTATTAGCTCATTAATCGGCACCATAATGCTGTGAGGTAGGTTATTGTGGCTGTATAGTAAGACTGATAATTGTCATCAATGTGAGACTGTGTAGACATGTTTTAAAGACCAGCTTTTAGATGTGATGTTAGAAGTTAAGAAACGTTAGTACAAACAATGTGGTATATATATCATTGTTTTACACATGAGAAACCTAAGATACAGAAGGTAACAAACCTACAGTCACATGCCAAGGAAATTGGGAGCCGGGATCTGATGTCAGCTGATTTTCAAGATGGTGCATTTGTTTAATATAAAGAATTGCTAGAATGACTTTTATAAAATTACTATGCTAGAGTTCTTTTTGTTGTCTTTATATGACATACACACAAAAAAAAATTGGCAGTCTCCCACTCACAGCCCTTGCACTTTTAAAAATGGATTCATGAGCTCGGTTCCTTCTGAGTGCAACATCAGGGATGGCCGAAGTTGCTGCAGGTTTGAGAAGATGGCGAAGTACCTGATGCCTCTGATCCAGGATAACCCTTCTAGATGGAGCCCTTGTGCAGTTCTCAGGCAGTTTTGGGACATGCTTTACTAGCCATTCAGCAAAGGATATCTGCCAGGAAATGTGGCAGACTAGACAGGTGCCACATACCAGCATAAGACGTACACAAGTACTCCTTTTCAGTTTGGTGGTGGAAGGTCAGTATGCTTATTTCCGCGGAGAGGATGAGACGAGCTTTCAGCTGGTGGTTACATCACACAGGCAGAAGACTGCCTTCCGGCGGAACCGACTGAGATTCTCACAGCCTAACTTCCAGACAGACAGAGATTTTCGAACATGCTGCAGTTCAACCTGCAGACCCTCCCTAAGAGTGCCAATCGGGAGAGAGAGCGAAATTCCAGAAGCAGTTTGGAATGAGGCAAAAACGGGAATAAAAATCCCAGAAGCCCCGAAATTCTTGGGTCGTAGACCGCAGTGATTGGAGGTCAACGAGGAAATGGACTTCCCTCAGTTAATGAATCTGCACTACTTAACAAGCGTCAGAGCCCGCGGACAGAGTTCTGTGACCCTCAAATACTACGTTAAAGCCTTTGACCACATCACCATAAGGAATGAGAAGCTACTGCGGAACATCAAGTTTATCATCCACACCGTCACCACCACGGACGACCCTGTCATCAGAAAGCTGGCCCAAATTCAACAGAATGTGTTTGCTACCAATGCCATTCTGGCCACACTGATGAGTTGCACCCGCTCCGTGTCTTCCTGTGACATTGTCCAGAGTCTGCTCCAAGTTCTTTGACAAGAGGAACAACTCTGACGACCTCCTGACAGTGAGTGAAGTGGCCAACGAGCCCCTTCAGAATGAAGGTAGTTTCTTCAATTCCAACCCCCCGCACCCAGAACCTGGCCATGGAAGGCCACCTACATCAACCATGGCTCCCAGCACTAGCAGTGCTTGAGAATGGGGAAGGAGTGATACAGCTTGCCCAGCTTGCCCAACCCATTTTTGAAGGACTCCATGGACAAGAATGAAATTGCCTCAGTGGTGTACCATTACCAAAGGTGGAAGCTAGGTGAGGACATCGACCTTATTGTACATTGTGAGCACGATGGTGTCATGACCAGCGCCAATGGGGTTAGTGTCCTTCATTAATATCAAGACCCTCAATGACTGGGACTCATGGCGTGGGCTGGCATCAGAAACTGGACTCACAGAGAGGGGCTGTCATTGCTACAGAACTGAAGAATAGCTACGAGCTGGCCTGGTGGACCTGCCGCACTTTGCTGGCCAAATCCGAGTACCTGATGCTTGGATACATGTGCTTGTACCATGTGAAAGACTCCTGAGCAACATGATCCTTGGGACTCAACAGTTCAGGCCCAATGAGTTTGCCAGCCAGATCAACCTGAGCATGGGAAATGCATGGGGCATCCTGCGCTGTGTCAGTGACATCTGCGTGAAGCTGGAGGAAGGAAAGTACTTCATCAAGGACCCTACCTAACAAGCAGGTCATTCATGTCTACAGCTTGCCAGATAGCACCTTCAGCTCTGACGAGGACAAGGAAGAAGAGGAGGAGGAAGAGGAAGAAACTTATATCAGACAATGGTTTGGACCTGTAGCTGTCATTCCATCGAGTCTGTAAGGACCTTTGATGTTTAGAGGGGTGATTGCCCAACTCTGCTCTGCAGTTTGACAGAAGGAATAAAGTTTTTTGTTTAGTTCTTTTTTAATGGATCCATGAAATCCAAGTTCTCTTTATTTTATAGGTGAAGAAACTGAGACATAGATACGAAGTAATTTTCCCAAGGTCACGCATCCTTCAGTGGGGCTAGTGTGATAGTTGGAAAGTGGGCAAGATTTTGACTTTGACAAGGCATTTTGCCCAGTGTTCACTCTTAAACTGCAGTGTCTGCCTACTTCCACCAGGGGCACTAACATTCAATCAAGTTTATGTTTTCATTCAATAGCCCCAGACCCTAAAAATGACTATGAAATTTAGGCTGTCTAAGGCATATTCTTCTGTGGGGTTCATTGCAAATTATGTATTGGTCATTATATTTCAGAGTTGTTTGTTATAAATTGAAATCGAGAGTTTTTCACACATTTTTAAAATTTATAATGTCAGAGTCAGTAAGAAATCTTAACAGCATCCAGTCCACTTCCCCATATTTTTCATATTCACTTAGTGAATCTCAGTCTCACTCAATCTCAAAAGTATATAGGCAGTTGTACTTTAATATATCTCATTTATTTTTTGGAAGAAAATACTTTTTTTCTTTCGGTTTTGTTTTAGGTTAGAACCACAACTGGAACAGCTACAGACAAAGTATGATGAACTGAAGGAGAGAAAATCTTCCCTGAAGACGGCAGCACATTTCTTATCTAATTTAAAGCAGCTTCATCAGGATTATTCAGATGTTCAAGAAAAAGAACCAGAAGCCACGGAAACGGTAATTTTTCCATTTTCCTGGGCTTCAGAGTCTGTTAGAGGATATTTGCATCACTAGAAGCTTTGTGGAAGGATGGGTGTAGATGCAGAGTCGACCCAGATCAGCATCACTATAAACAAGCGGCAGCTTGTTATGGCATCCCCTTTTTAGCTACTTAATGGAAGCTAGAGGGACAGAGGAACGTCCAGAACCACTGAATGTATTACTTATGCTTCATGAGCAGAGTTTCCTCAACAGAAGCATATACTCAGTATACTTTGTGTACAGATCTGAACGGAGCAACAAGCATTGTTGCCATTCATTATTCAACAATGTAAGACCTATTCTAACATTTTAAAGAGCATCCTCTTGCTCTTTTTTGCTTTTACTTTCATTTGCATTTGTTTCTTCAGGGTTATCTTTTTCTTCTGTGCAACTTCCTCTTCTGGTTTAGTAACAGTTTGTTTCTTTTCAGTGAGGATTATCTCAATGTGGCAGAGGGAGCTCAGTTAGGGGTTGATCTGACCATGAGCTCAGTAAGTTTGGCGGCACGCGTTGCGGGCTTCGTTGAGCTGGATGAGCTCAATACCAGAGACTCCACATCTAATTCCTTAAGACAGTGCTTAACAACAACAACAATGCCTTTCTCCAGGGACTGATCCCTCTTGATAATATGTTCTCTGAATTTTATACTTGCTCTCTGAATTTTTAAGCATGTGCAGTAAAAATTCAGTGTTCTTTTTGGGCTGCCGGTCCTGTGTCGAGCCCCACTGTTTGGCCTGAGCACACCTACCAGCACCACCATTATAATGTCAGAATGGTACACATTGCTTGTATAAAGTGACATCTTTCAGATACGTGGTGGCTTTTCAGATATGCATATACCCTTGATGGCCTAGGAAGTCTCATGGGTGTTCTTAAAATGAACCTGGGTATTTGAACCTCTTGATTTGCATGATTTTGTGGGGCTTTCTGGGTCAGGTGAGTAGCGAACCATTTTGTGAGTTTAACTCAGGCCACTAACTGGAAGAGCCTTCTTGTTCTTTTTATCTATATTGAGTGTCTTTATTTATCCTTGAAATACAAATTGTACCCAATGCAAATGGTAGATGGCATTTTAGAATTTAAGAAGTATATTTAAAAGGTCCTGGTGTGGCGCTGTAGAATAAGCACTGTACTGCTAACTGCAGTGTCGGCAGTTCATACCCACTAGCTGATCCTTGAAAACCCCATACAAGGTCACAATGAGTTGGAACCTACTTGATGACAATAAACAACAAGTAGGAAAAGAATGTGACATACAGTTTTAATATATTTTATACTTGCTACTATACTTTTCATTCAGAATTTGCTGTGCAACTATGATATCCAACTCAGTTTAAGAGAGATGTTTAAGCAACTGAAAGAACTACATATATTTATGTGTTTTACTGTCATTGTTCTAACCATTATATGGGTAAGTGCTCAGCTGCTACTGAAAGGCTGGTATCTGGAAACACAACCTGCTTTGTGGGAGACACGGTCATCTGCTCCTGTAAGATGACAGCCTAGCAGACTCTGGGGGGCTGCTCTGCTCAGTCATGTAGGGTTGCTATGAGACAACAGCGAGTTGACAACATAGACATATATTGTTGTTGCTAAAGTACCATCGAATCAGTTCTGACTGATAGCGACCCTGTATAGGGTTTCCAAGATATGTGATTTCTTATTGTTGTTAGGTGCCATTAAGTTGGTACTGACCCATAGCGACCTTATGCACAGCAGAACGAAACATTGCCCGATCCTAGGCCAACCTCACTACTGTTGCAATGCTTGAGTCCATCGATGCTGCCACTTGGCCAATCCATCTCATTGGGAGTCCTCCTCTTTTTCTCTGACCCTCCACTTTACCAACATGATATCCTTCTCCAGCGACTGGTCCCTCCTGACAATATGTCCGAAGTATGAGAGACGAAGTTTGGCCATCTTGGCCTCCAAGGAGCACTCTG